GTACCTTATCAGAATGGAGGAAATCCCCTTTATTCCTAGTTTGATGAGAATTTTAATCAATAATGAACGTCAAAAGCTTTTTCTAAATCCCTTGAGATGACCACATGATTTTCCTTTTTTGTTCTGTTAATATACTGAATTATACTGATTGGTTTCCATTTTTTAAATAAATCTCATTAGCTTATGATATAATACCCCTTTAATACATTGTTGGATTCATTTTGAAAATTTGTTAAGACTTTTTGCATCTATGTTCATAAGGGATATTGGTCTATAGTTTTATTTTCTTGTAATATCTTTGCTTTTAGTAACAGGGCAATGCTGTCCTCACAGAATGAATTGGGAAGTATATCCTGCTCTCCAATTTTCTGGTAGAGTATGTATAAAACTGGCATGATTTATTTCTTAAATGTCTGGTAGAACTCAAGAGTGAAATGATCTGAGCCTGCTGTTTTCTCTGTGGGAAGGTTAAAATTACAAATTCAATTTCTTTAGATATAGGGCTATGTCAGTTATCTGTTTTTTCTTGAAGAACTTTGGTAGTTTGCTAGTTTCAAGAAATTTGTGCATTTCTTCAAACGTTGCAGAATTCATTGGCAAAACACTCTTATTGGCAGAAAGTCATTTATATTTGCTCTTATCCTTTAAAAAAATCTGTAGAATCTGTAGTGATGTCACCTTTCTCATTCTTGAGAGTAATTTGCACAGAATCAGATTTATATCTGGTATGACTGTCCTTCTGCTTGAAGGATTTCTTTAACATTTCTTGTAGCTCAGGCCTGTTTGTGATTAATTCCTTTTCAGTTTCTTTCTGTTTATGAAGGTCTTTATATTTTGCCTTCACTGGGTATAGAATTCAAGGTTGCCATACTTTTCCCCCTTGAGTACTTTAAAGCTCTTGCTCCACTGTCTTCTCCCTAGAAAGGTTTCAGATGAAAATCCTCCTGTCATCCTTATCTATCTTTGTTCATGACTCTGTATATAATTTTCCATTTTTTTCTCCGCTGCTTTTAACATTTTCTCTTTATCACTGACTTCAAGCCATTTGATTATGACGTGCTTTAGTGTAGTTTTTGCACGTGGGGTTTACCGAGATTCTTGGAACTGTGGTTTTATAGTTTTCACGAAATTCAGAAAATTTTCAGTCATTATTTCTTCACATATTCTTTTAGTCATACTTTTCCCTTCCATGACTCTAATTACATGTATATTAGTCCACTTGAACATAAACCACTGCTAACGATTGTTGATTTTTTTCCCCAGACTTTTTCACTGTGCTTCATTTTGGATAGTTTCTGTTGCTATGTCCTCAAGTTCACTAATCTCTTCTTCAGCAGTGTATATATGTAATTAATTCTAGATTACAGTGTACTTTTTCATCACAAATACTATAGTTTTCATCTCTAGACATTTGATTTAGATCTTCTTTTTCTTATCTTCCGCGTCCTCTGCTTAACTTGTTCAATCTCTCCTCTAGTTCAGGGATCTGCAACTACAGCCTGTAGGCCAAATCCGATCCACTGCCTGTTTTAGACATAAAGTTGTACTCCAGTATACAGACACATCCACTGGTTTACACATTGTCTATGGCTGCTTTTGTGCCACAACAGAGGCTTATGGGCCACAAAAACTAAAATATTCAGTCTGATCCTTGAAAGAAAAATTTTGCAAACTCTTGATCTTAGCATCTTAAACATATGGAAGACAAATATAGTAATTCTTTTAATGTCTTTGTCTAATTCTATCATATCATTTTTGGGTTGGTTTTAATTGACTGAAGTTTTCCCTAATTATAGATCATATTTTCCTGCTTCTTTGTATGACTGGTATATTTTGATCAGAAGACAAGACACAATGAATTTTACCTTTTAGAGTGCTGGATATTTTTCTATTCCTGTAAATATTCTTGAGCTTTGTTCTGGTACACAGTTCAGTTACTTGGAAAGAATCTGATCCTTTCAATCTTGCTTTTAAGTTTTGTTAGGTGAAATGAGAACAGTATTTAGTCTAGGCCTAATTTTGTACTACTACTGAAGCAAAACCCTTCTGAGTACTGTAGTTGCCCTGTGAATTATGAGATTTGTCCACTCTGGCTATTGGGAACAGGAATAATTTGTAGTACTGAATGAGCTTTGGAAATTCCTTCCTCTAATTCTTTATTTTTTCCCCCAACCTTCCTCACAAGCAAACTTGCTTACACATATGTACTGATCAATACTCAGCTGAAGACTAGAGGGGACCCTCTGCATATCTCTGGAACTCGCTGCCCAGCTCATTCCTCCCCAGTTCTCTGCCATGGGAACTCTAGCTGCCTTGGCCTCACTAGATTCCCAGCTCCATTTCCTCATTCAAGGTGCTTAGTAGGTTCCTCCTAGATTCCCCCTCCCTACATCATGGCCTGGAAACTCTCTCCAGGCGCTAAGCTAGGGCAATCATAGGGCTCACCCCATTTGTCTCCTGCCTCTCAAGGATCACTGTCCTTCCTTGCCTGCCATCCAATATCTTGAAAACCGCTGTTTCATATATTTTGTCCAGGTTTTAAGTTGTTTCAGGCCGGAGAGTATTTCCAGTCCCTGTTACTCCATCTTGGCCAGAAGCAGAAGTCCTAAAAGCGACTGAAATCTTCCAAACAGGAAAACTGCTTAAAGGGTAAATGGAAAATTGTGATAAAGTAGATGAGACCTAACCATATTATTGTATATTTAAGGAAAGGAAAGAAAAATTTCCTTACGATATTTATCATCATCATAGTGACTGTTATTTTTACAAAGGTATCCATTAAAGTAACTAATTTATTCATCAAAATACATTTTATTGTTAGGAGTCACTCCAACCTATTGCTGCTGGTAATGAAATAAAAACATAAATTTTAGACTTCAAAATGCCTATACATGCGAATTACACAATACCACTTAGAATTTCCTCAAGATATATTAAAACAACTAAGTGAAAATGTATTTACATGGACCTGTGAGACAAGTTACATTTTCCCAGCCCACTTGATCTGGAATATTTACATAATGCCTTTAAAAAATTTTTAATTATGAAGTAACTTCAGACTTACAGAAAAGTTGCAAAAGTAGTACAAAGAACTCCTAGTCCCCCTTCCCCCAGACTCCCCAAATGTTAACATTTTACCATATTTGTATATAATGTTTTTAAGCCATTTAAGAGCACATTGTAGACATAAAGCCCCTTCACCCAAAATACTCGTGTTTATTTCCTATACACAAAGATTCTCTTACGCAATGGCAATGCAATTATCACTGATACAATACTAACATCTACAGATTTTATTTAAATGTTGCTAACTGTCCCACTTAAGGTCCCTTACTGAGGAGGAGGGAGCAGTGCTGAGAAACTACCGCCCTCAGGCCAAATCAGAATAGCCTCCAGTTTTTCTAAATTAAGTTGAGCTGAAACACAGACACACCCTTCATTTAGGTATAGTCTATGGCCGAGAAGTCATAACAGACTCCTTGTGGCCCAAAAAGCCTAACATGTTTATTATCTAGCCTGTTACAGAAAATGTTTGCCAACTCCAGCTTTAGAGCAAAAGGAAACTATTCTCCTGGCCCGGGATTTAGTTGAATTTAGTTGTCATGTCTCTTCGACCTCCTTTAATCTGGTATTCTTCAGTCTTTGTTTTCATGATCTTGAACGTTCTGAAGAGTAAATGCCTTTATTTTACAGAATGTCCCTCATTTATGTCTGTTTGCTGTTTCCTTACACTTAGATTTAGCTTATGCATGTTTGGCAAGAACACCACAAAAGTGATATTGTGTCCCTCTCAGGATGAACATGATATTTATTCGACCACTACTGGTGATGTTAATTAATTAATTTATTTATTTTTCATGAGGAAGATCAGCCCTGAGCTAACATCGGATGCCAACCCTCCTCTTTGTCTTGCTGAGGAAGATTGGCCCTGAGCTAACATCCATACCCATCTTCCTCTACTTTATATGGGACGCCGCCACAGCATGGCTTAACAAGCAGTGCGTCGGTGCGCGCCCGGGGTCTGAATCTGTGAACCCCGGGCGGCTGAAGCGGAGCGCGCGCACTTAATCGCTGCACCACCAGGCCGGCCCCCTACTGATGTTAATTTAAATAACTTAATTAAGATGGGGTCTGCCAGGTTTTTTCACTGTCATGTTATTATTTTCTGCTTTATACTTAACACATACTTTGTGAGGATACGCTTAGAGACTATGTAAATATTTTTTTTCTCGTCAGGTTTCAATCCAATAGTTTAAGCATCTATGATGATTTTTGCCTGAAACAATTATCACTGTAATAGTTGCCAAAATGTGATTTTCTAGTTCCATTATTCCTTCTATATTGATTAGGTGAAATGCTTCTGTAAGCTATCTCCTCTCTTCCAATTATTGATTAATTTATTTAACTCAGTGTAGACTTCTAAACTGTGATTTTACTCTATGGGTTTTAATCCATTATTATCTTTATTTATTTTGATGATCAAAGTGCCCCAGATTTAGCTCAAGGAAGCCCCTTTAAACTGGCTCTCTGTGTCTGTCTGGCATGTCCCCATCATTCTTTGAATACAACAGTTTTAATAATAGCAATAATGTGGAAGTAACCCAAATGGCCATCAGTGTGAAATATTAAATAAAGAGCAATGTGAAGACAATAGAGAACTATGGAGACATTAAAGAGAATGAAGTAGAAGATATACAGTTAAGTGGGGTTAAAAGGTACCAATCAATGGTAGACTATGATGCCAGAGTTTAAAAAGAAAAAGGAAAAAGACAGGCATGTTTATACATGCATACAATTTTCTTGAAAGATACTAACAATGCAGGGTTAGCATTAACTCTAGGACTGTACCTGTGGAAGCGGGTGTCTTACTTTTTATTTTATAACCACTATCAGAAATTTTTTAAATCATTTTCAAGAGCACCTAATATAGTTTCTAAAATGACAGGATCTAACACTTTTATGAAATGTCTGGGTGAAAGGCTGACTAATATAATGCTTACCTAGTGAGTCGTTTAGGTGGAGGCCTCTCACCAAATTTTCTGGAAAAAATAAGAAAAAGAAACATTAAATAGGCTGTATGACACACTCCACAGTAAGCTTTTTAGGTACCATGAAATCTCCTTTATGACTTACACTTCAACCCAACTAAAGATTAGTGTAAAAAGAAATCCTCTAGTAAACATCTATACTCAGAAATAACAAAATAGAGACTTTAAAATAGTTCTTACACAAAAATAACATGTCAAAATAGGCTTTACACATCCACTCTGAGCATGTGGCACACTGATTAGATGAGGATGACAGGTACCTTCCGGAGACACCTTGCAAAACAACAACTACCTAGAGACCCCCAGTCTCACACAATCTGCAGCACTCAGAAAAATCCTCACAGCCCAAGAGGTAGTGTAGACCTCACGAGTGTTTATCATGTGCCAGGCACTATGATATACATTTTTTAGACATGGTTCTCTTTAACCATTATAAAATAATTCTGTAATGTACACATTGGCCCATTTTAAAGATGTAGAAAGCAACCTGCCCAATGTCACAAAGTAAATTAAGTGGCAGGCCAAGGTGAGATGTAAACCTGGATGTAGACTACTTAACTAGCCTCTAGTATAGGTCCCTTCAAAAAGAAATATGCTAAATAGACTGGCATAGAAGCACTGCAACTGGCTGGGAGTGGGCAAAGAGAACAGCATGAGCAAGGACAAGAAAGCACAATTTAGGCTGGAATTAGAAGACAACATAGAGGTTGAAACTCTAGAGTAAGAGTGGCTGAGTTCAAATCCATGATTTGGTATTACTTGCTGTGTAACCCTGAACTTACGTGCCTCTATAGACTTCAGTTTCCTCATCTGTAAAAAAGGCACAATAACTGTACTTTACTCAAGAAGTTGTTGAAGGGATTAAATATGTTAATATATAGAAAACAGAGATCAGTGTCCAGAATGCAGTAAGTGCTCAATAAATGTTAGTAATTATTACTACTTTTTGGTTATAAATGGTTAAGCCAAAATAACTAAATAAAGGAATCAAGTGTGATGTTAATAAAGATAAATAAGTGTAAAAGGAAGAAGAAACTTATTTCTATGTGATGATCTGTATTTCCTCTGAAATAGGAAATGAGGTCTTCTGAAAGGGACGGTGGAGGCACAGCACTTGAAAAAAGACCAATGGAATATTATTTTCTTTTTAAAGCAAGATTGCCATTATAAACAGGATAAGCAACTTGTTCATAATCACAGGTACAGGTCGTGGAGCCTAATTTGACTTAAGATTTCTCTACTATATTTGTGATGTTCCACAAAATTATTAACTTTGATGATAAAAGTCTTAGAATTCCATGCAGTTCATTTTGTTGAGTAATTTAATGCCATATAACACTGTTTATGAATTCATATTTATAAGCAATGAGTATCTGTGACTTTGAATATTTGTTATTTTTGTTAACCCTTAAATATTGAAAAGTGGTTTTAACTGAAACAGCACCAAAAAAATGAGCAAATAATTGTGAGAATTATTATTTATTATTAATTCTCTTTGATTTTATCCTACAGGATATTCAATTTTAAAAATCAAGAAACAAAACACAATGTTTTATTAGTAACGTCGCAAGACTGCTGAAGACCATAGGTTTTAAAACACTGAACCACTGGCTAATCTGTGAATTCCAGTTATGGAATTAAACGCAAAAATCTACTCCTGAATCTTTTTTCCACAAGAAAGATTTTTTTTTTGTTTTTTGTGAGGAAGACTGGCCCTCAGCTAACATCTGTTGCCAATCTTCCTCTTTTTGCTGAGGAAGATTGGCCCTGAGCTAACATCTATGCCCATCTTCCTCTATTTTGTATGTGGGATGCCGCCACAGCTTGGCTTGATGAGCAGTGCGTAGGTCCGCACCCAGGATTCGAACCTGCACACCCCAGGCTGCCAGAGCAGAGCCTGCAAACTTAACCACTGTGACACCGGGCCAGCCCCCTCCACAGGAAAGATTTTTTTGAACCTTTGAAACTGATTAAACATACCATTATAACATATGATTAAAATAAAACTGCCTCACTAGGTTAGATATAGAATATTTTACAAGAACCAAGAAGTTTAAGACATTCTTTAACACACTTCTTTGCATATATAATATATATATATATTTAAGAGCAGAGTTATACTTCCCAAAGATACACGAAGTGAGGTGTGGCCAGAATCTACCTAAGGGCTTAAAATGGTGAAAATTTTATAGTGAGACACAGTTAACAAACGAGATAAAACTTTTCAATGAGGATCATGACGCCACTACCCTTCATACGAGCTACTAACACTCCAATCACCAAGCACCCTTTGGGATCTAACACAGTTTTATTATGTGACCAGAAAGAGATCCACTGCTCTCAAAATTCAAATGTAAATTTTATTTCTTGATGCTCTGAAATGCTTTCAAAATTAAATTAACAACTAAATGTTCATTAAAACATCTGCCTACGTTCTTTTTTGGAAATACCCATTAGATGAAGTCAACAATTAGATACAACATCTAATTGCAACATCACTCCTGCCCCCATAGAAAACACAAGCAAGACAACTCAGTAGTTTGCCTACTGAGCTTGAACAGCATCTCAAAATGATGCATTGTTCCATCTAGGTGCCATCCTAAGGCTGGGAATCTTATGAACATTAGTAAGATTAAATCGCTTCTACAGTATATCATAAACCATCTCCAATAATTGTTGTGTGCAATCCCAGTCCTCTCTTTAATGCATATGCCATCACATTCCTATTTATCTCATTAAAACTAATGGTTACCGTATTGGAACAGGAGAAGAATAAGAAAATGAATTTTCCGAGAAAAGTCATGAAAGCATTTAGTAGGTTCACAATGCATAATGCTGAAGGTCTCAATCGAACTAAATTCTAATTATTTAATAAAACTCATAGGTCTACATACTAAAAACCGTCAAGTTATACCAAGGTATCACATGCATCTTGCACTTATCAAGATCCATTTTCCACTACTAATCTGGTGTGCAAAACAAAACTTCAAGAATTACGTATCTACTGCAAAAAGAAGGTCCACCTTTAAATATGAGTACTCAAGAAAATTCATGATGTAGAATTTATATCATGCAATCAAAATAACCACTTTTCAGCAGAAATGACAACAGTCAGCTATCAAGTACTCAGAGACAATTACAATTTAAAGATTAAGCTCTGTCTCTCCTGCAATACGAAATGGTGAGATAGGCAGGTACAAATTTTTCATCTTTATTTGTAACCTATTTTAAAAACAAGACGTTTACTGACATGATCTGTGTTGACAACTAAACCAGAAATAAGTTGGAACAATCAAATATAGATCACTCTCACTCTTATCTAAGATACTTTTCATAACACATTTATGGTGTATTTAACAATGCAAAAAAATCTAAATCCTTAAGTACCCTACTGACACTTTTAATTTTATAAAATTCTGAGTTAATTCCTCACTGTAACAAAGAATCACTGCTATCCAACTTTTTGATATTACAGACTGCCAGTATCTCATATGCATGAGTAGGTTTCTCAAATTTTATGCATACTATATAAAATGTAGTTTTGGTTAATAATCCTTTATATATATTTAAAGGGAAAAAGTTATGATTCTGGCTTTTGTTTTTTTTTTAGTAACCAGCAAAATTAACTATATAAAGCTGATTATACTCTAACCCATGCCCTCTCCTTCTTGTTCTGTTCTGTATACTCTTCCCTCAGATTGGGACTGGCGAACAAAACACAAAACTCTATGTGCAATCATTATCTAGTAATGCTCATATAATACTATGGCTCAAGAAGATTTGCATTATCCAAAGTAGAAACATCGTAAGTATAATTTTAAGCTAGCAAATTCATTTTACTTTAACTTTACTAGCTTTCCCTAAGATAACAATGCAAAATAGGAAGAGCTGGGGTAAATGTTCATTATTGTAGCTAAATCTATTTTCATATACCTGAAAGTGTGAGGACTTTTTAAAAGCTGCCATCAATCATTAAAGTACTTCCTACCTGTAAACAGTATTGAGCTTCCCACATATTCTCCAATCCATTAGAATTTTCAAATAAGTAAAAAACCTGCATATTACACACTTCCTTTTCCGCTCACGGTGGAGATGCAATATTGTTTTCTCCCACAACAGAGACATGTGCTTCTATATTTACCAATCTGTTAAGCAAGTATATGGCCACAAATGTATTGAGGACAAACATGATAAGTTATCAAAACTTCACCATCTTAACACCTTTTCTAGCTAACAGATGGCTTCACATGAGAAAAGTCAAAAATCAAAAAGGGGAGGAAAAGAAAAAGTTTTTTTGAACATAGAACAATTTAGTAATTACACTACTATAAAACCCTGATGTTATCTAGAATATCGTCTAGTAACAGTATTAGAACTTTGATTTTAAAAACATAGAGCTGGCTGGAAAAGCAAGCTCAAGTCATGTGGGAAACTCTTCTGCCCTTGGGTTGTGGAACTAAAAGTAATTTCCTCTGTTTTTCTGTCTTTCACAAATTTTCTGCTTAACACAGAAGCGAAATTAAAATAAATTAAGGCAAGAAACACTGGTGTGGTATTTGAAGGAAAGAAGTAGAAAGGAAAGCATGAACAATCCAAACTCATAATTAAACCAAACTTTACACCAAATCTGCTGTACACAGTATATAAATTTCATACAGTTCAAAAGTACTGGGATTTTTGAACTATGATGTAAGACAGTGAAATGAAATAGCACTTGAACAGGGAAAAATTAGGAAACCTGATTCATACCCTTACGGATCCACGCCTGATCCATTCCACTAGTTACGGATCCATACCTGATCCATTCCACTAGTAGGAGGAAACATACAGGTGATAAAAATTATTACTATATTCTGTGGTAACATATAATATGAAAAGCAAAGCAAATGGTACTAGGAAGCTGTTTAGTAATTTACTCCCCCAAAATACAAGACACTCATTAGAAAGGGCTACATATAATATTCCATCCTTGCCTCCAAATTCATTCATCC